CTGCCCAGAGGCCCTACCTGGTGGGGGATAGGAGTGAGTCGACAAGCCCCTCGGCCTGTGTGGAGGGGCTGTGCTGAGTGACGTCACGGCCCCCAGGCCACAGCCATAGCCTGAGCCCTGGGCTCTGCATGGAGACTGCTCCCTGGGCCCCCTAAACAACGTCCACCTGCAGTAGCGGCTCCCACGCATCTTTACAGCCCGAGGGCAGGTCCACGGGGCCTCGCAAGTCCAGCCCGTGCCCCGGGGTCCCCCTCAGCCTCAGCCCTGGGCAGGCTGGCACAGGCTGGCAGAGCCCCAAGGGCCTTGCAAACTCTCTAGTCCAGCCGTGGGCAAACTACGGCCTGCGGGCCGGATCCGGCCCGTTTGAAATGAATAAAACTAAAAAAAAAAAAAGACCGTACCCTTTTATGTAATGATGTTTACTTTGAATTTATATTAGTTCACACAAACACTCCATCCATGCTTTTGTTCCGGCCCTCCGGTCCAGTTTAAGAACCCATTGTGGCCCTCGAGTCAAAAAGTTTGCCCGCCCCTGCATCTAGTCCAAATCTCTATCCTACTGCTGAGGCAGCTAAGGCCCAGAAACGCAGTGGCATCTTCCGGCCCCTGCCCCTGGGCTGCTGCCTGGAGAAGTGCTCGCCCACTGCCTGCTGCCCGCTCAGCGTGCCAGGCAGGCCCTCCCCAGACCCAGGCCCTATGGCAGCTTCACTCTCCCAGTGACCCGGAGCGTCGTGGGTGTTCAAAGGAGTGGGCACAGGCAGAGCCCCAGGCCGACCCCCCAGCGCTCTGGGCCAGGCAGGAAGAAGTGCCCCCTGTCCCCCGGAGACACTGGGGGTGCCAGGAAAGCTCAGGGGCCCCTTTGATGGGACCTAACAGCCCCCTCGCCCGCAGAGCCCACTGCAGTGTGGACTGGCCGGGACTGAACGGGCCTCGTGGCGCTGGCCGCACTGGATGGGGCAGATCATGTTTCCCATTCTCACTGCTCAGCCCAGGCTCCCCCTTGCTCTCCCCTCCCTGGGCCGAGAGAAACCCCACCGCCGTGGGCTCCCTCCGATTCCCAGCACCTCCTCCCCGCCAGCCACCATGTTAACCCCAGGGTCTCGGTCAGCCTGGAATCAAACGGGGCCCCACGAGGCTTCTTTTCTCCAGGTGTGGGGGACACGGGGCCCCTTGCTTCTGCTCCTGCGCTCCTGCGCGACCTGCGGGGAAGTCACACCCCTCTCGGCTCCGTGATCTGTAAAACCAGGGGCTGGACAGCCAGCCGCCTCCCGGCAGGGTCCACGGGGCATCCAGGGCGCACGGCGGGGCCTGGGAGCCAGATTCCCAGGTCAGGGCTTGGGTCCCTCGCCCACTCCCAGCAGAGAAGAGCCCGTTTCCAGTTGTGGGCAAGGGCTCCGCCTCAGCTTCCACTGCCAAGGCAGCGCCTGCTGCCACCCAGAGCGTGAGGGTCACGCCGGGAGCGCGAGGGTCGCCGCAGTGTGGGGCCTCCTACACACACGGGGAGGCCAGGCTCAGAGCACCCCCTGTCCCTGCGTTCATCCCCTCACTTTTCTTTCTTTCTTTTTAAAATATATTTTTATTGGTTTCAGAGAGGAAGGGAGAGGGAGAGAGAGAAAATCAATGAGAGCAAATCATTGATCAGCTGTCTTCTGCACGCCCCACACTGGGGACCGAGCCCGCAACCTGGGCATGTGCCCTTGACCAGAATCAAACCCAGGACCCTTCTGTCCACCGGGCGGTGCTCTATCCACCGAGCCAAACCAATCAGAACCATTCACTCATTTTCATTCATTTATTATTTGTTCATTCATCCAATTGTTTAAAGACATCGAGTGGCCACTGCTGCCACGCAAAGAGCATTGGGTGATCTAGGATCTTGCTGCCTCAGTTCCCCCCGGGGCCTCCCTGTCGATGCTGGTATGTGATGAGGCTCCCTTGTCAGACAAGCCGGCCCCCAGCTGGTGCCGCCCAGGCCTCCCCTTGGCTGGCAAAGCCCAGAGCTTGGGGTTCCTGGCTCCCCTCGCGCCCCTACCCAGCACCCTGCACACCCAGCTGGGCACAGTCCACTTCCACTGCCGGGCACCAAGAGGAAGCTGTGTTGCCAAAACAAGGCACTTAGGTTAAGTGGCTATTGTTACATCAGCTGCCTTCCTGCCCAGCGCCCGCGCCCCCACACACTCCCACACATCCCAGTGGCCAGGGGCCAGCACAGGACGAGGTGGGGGCGGAGGGCGGAAGGCGCAGGGGGCAGAGGGCAGGAGGGCGCGGGTGGAGGTCTGCCGGGCACCATGACGACAGGGACAGAGGTCGGAGGTGAGGCCGCGTGCCTGCAGGATGCGCGGCGGTGCTGGGTCCTGAAGGTGCCTGCACTTTGGGGGACAGCGGGACCTGAGCCTGCCGGTCTGCCGTCTTGGTAACCTGCCGGCCCCCGCTGGGGAGGCGCCTCAGCTGAGCCCTTCCGGGGCCTTCCAGCCCTTGTCCAGGCCACGGCGCCACAGCCTCGGGCTGGCTGGAGCCAGGCCACTTTAAGAAAATACCAGAAAGTACAGGAACGTCTGCTCTGCAAAGGATCGTTCCGTCATGGTGCACGTCGGCCTCTCTTTAATAAACGTTCACTCTGCGAGCTCGGGGAATGTGGCTTATTTCGAAAAAACACCAAGTGCACACTTTTAAAAAACCAGTGCACTCCGACAGGGTGCACCTGCCACCCCGTTCCCTGTGGTCAGGGGCCTCCAGGGGCCTCCAGGGGCCTCCAGGGCCAGGTGTCCAATCCTCTGATTTGACGGCGGAAAAACACAGTCATGGAGAGAAGGCTGCCCACATTATTACAGGAGCCGGGACCAGAGCATAAGGATGGTGACAACAAGCCCTGCTCTATGAATCCATCTCTGCCTGCCCCTGCGTCTGCCCCTGCGTCTGCCCCTGCCCCTGCCCCTGTGTCTGCCCCTGCCCCTGCCCCTGCCCCTG